TTATTATTATTATTATTATTATTATTATTATTTAGTATTATTATTATTATTATTCGAAAAAAAGTAATGTTTAAACTTTTATTACATTATTATTATTATTAATTATTATTATTATTATTATTATTATTATTATTATTATTATTATTATTATTATTATTATTATTTAAAGAATCATTCTGTGAAGCCCAGTCGAACTATAATTTAGAAAGACCTTTGTAAATTAAAATCAAATTACCTTTTAAATAAATAAAAATAATAATTTTGTTTATAATGTTAAAGCAGGTAAGATAGGAATACTGGTAAAGAATATGGTAAAAAAATGGATTGTACAATACATGCTAAAATTTGATGGATGTAGATATTGCTTATTCGTGTCGTATTGACTTATTTTAGTGATTAACATGGTCAGGAGTTTATAATATTTTTATTCCAGTATTTAGTGAACATATACGTGTTTGTATCAGCCGCGAATACTGAAAGTGGTATGTTCCACTTACAATACTCCGCTGTCCCTTTCGCTGTACACTATACTAACGTAATTTGAATAATGAAGTTTCACATGTTACTTTTGTACCGTGACTATCCTCGTGCAATATTTTGTAGATTCGTAAAATTGTTTTTTTATGAATAGGAGCTCAAAATATGCCAGTAATAATAAGACATTTACAATAATGGTGCTACGATAATCTTCCAGAGCTGTGCACGCGTCTGGACGGCAAATCGTCAAAAACATAAGGCCTTATTTAATTTATAATATATGTGGAGCAGGCAGATACAAAGACGAAAGAGAAGTTCTTATCTGAGTGCCCAAATCCTCCTATTGGTGGGCTGTCTTACGTGAACATGCATTAACATATTAACCACCTAAATTTTAATTTTTCTCTGGCTTGGCGCGATCTGATGAAATTCCGTCACGTTGTCTATCATAATCTTCGCCTATCCGTTCTTGCCTTCCACGTAAGCTGTAAGTTAACCTATATAGGCCTAAATGTGTTCATCATAAGGTTTACTATTTTAGATTAAACTCGATTTGTGTAATATTCTTTCGTGATCAAGTTTGAAAAAGCGAGAATTTTTAAGCCTTCAGTATCTGAACATGCAAAAATAAATAAGGTGCGTTGAAATTCCACCTGTAGGCCAAATTCTACCATTAAATCGTAGTATTTGTCGCTGATTATGATATAGGATAATAGGTAATTTATGGATCATGACAATTCGTAATAGTCTATAGGTCCTTGAGTAGACCCTTGCGACGCCCATGAGGGGAGGAGTGTCAAAGAGAGGGGAGCATAGCTGCTCCCGTAGGTAGAAGTTAATAATTTTGTTGAGGAACACTGCTTTGAAAAAGCATTTTTACCATCTGATGAGAGTGCCATTTCCGAGCGTGGGGTCTATTCTTGAAATCACACCTTATCCCCAACCATGGTGGGCATGAGGTGAGTGTGGACTACCTATACTCCCTCCCCCTCCCCAGTCCAAAAAATGTATGGACCCGGCCTTGCCCTTGTCAGTATTTAGCTGCATTCACATCGGATCCGAACCGAAATCTGGATAGCGTTCCTATTTTAACATCTCAACATTTTCTAATCGGTTTGGTCGGCTTTCCACAGCTTAAATATGCCACCCAGATGTCTAGATAATAATCTCGTCATGTCGACATGATGGATGTAGACATGATGAGATCCAAGATGTTCTCATCTGAGCATCTGGGTGTGCAATGAGGGACGGGGATGGGAAGCGTCTTGTCAGGAAAAAAAAAAAAAAAAAAAAGCACTTCGTAGGGGAGAAAAAGAAAATTTTTACAGAATCAAATTGTGGAAGTTTCCAGTGGTCTTGTCCCTCCTTCCTTTGAAAACATGTTCACACTGCGTTCACACTGTGTATGTGTGTCTATTTTGCTATGCCAGATATAGATTCGTTTAATGTTCACCATGGTGCTTGGTTAATTTTCAGGCTGTTGTACCCTATTATGGACTATGAAACTCTGTTCTTGGTTGTGGCCACGATGTATTTTTTCCGTAAGTTTTAATTACTTTAGTAGGTGTCCACTTTCCATTAAATCACAACACATGATTCCTGAAAATGCCATGCTCACATAGGCCTACTACATAATGAATACCGTAAATGCTCGAATAAGTGCCACATCAAACGTGATTTTTTTTTTTTCGCTAAGCGCCACTCTCGAATAAGCTCGGCGGCGCTTAATCGAGAGTATAATATTCTGTATCTTTTGTGTGTAATGTAATGAAACACTTTGAGAAACAGGGTTTTTAATACAATGTATACAGTGTTAAACCATAGAGAAAATAGAATAGAGATAGGTAACATGGGCCGGGGAAGGAAAGCGCCACACTGAATTCTAAAAAAAAAAAAAAAGCATTTACGCTATCGCCACCACGATACGATAAAAGCACGTAAAGATCCTGCAATAGATTTATACCGACAAAGATCAATCACAGGATCGTGTGGTTTTAAATTGCGTGTCCGCTCCTGCATATGGGCTCTAAAATTTAAATTAATGCAATGACAATATTACTATGTATTGTTTTTTGAATGTCGAAGAAATACAAGTTAGCCCATGATGTAGTAATAATATAAGTATGGCGGGAGATATTCAGGATTTTGTTATATCAATAAACAACTTTCATTGTTGTTTGTTTTCAGAAGTTGGCGATACATTTATGTGCTACGAATGTAACCCGGGTACAGGTCCATCCTGCGGACAAATTCTAGATGATAGCGATAATATTCTACAGACTAATTGCTCAGGGAAATGCATGGTAAGAAACTTATTACATTTGACAAATTATATGAAAATAAAAACAAACATACATGAATTAAACGTATGTAAAGTACGGTTCAACATTTAGCTATCAAACGCTCAAAGAATTTCATCTGGTAGTAGGAAATGTATCAATTTTGTGGAATTATGGAGAAAATAGATTATTTCCTCCATGGCTGAACCAAAAAGGTAGGGCGTTCAACAAAACAGGTAATTTTCCTATTACAGATTCATAATGTGACGGTTAGGTTTTATTCTTGTTTCCCGGATAGTCCGTCCAGTGTAATATATCATTGGCCGTCTGTGACTATGTATGTAGCTTGATTATGAACCCTCAATTTTTCCATATACTTGCAGCTGTCGAAAACCACCATACCGATAGGAGACACTGCCATAGATGTATATAAAAGATCTTGTGAAGATTATTGCATTGACACATGTATGGATATTCCCGACATGACGCCAGGCATTACCGTATGTGCAAAATGCTGCACAACTGACCTCTGCAATAGCAACTATGTTAACACTGCATCGACGACAGGCATCACTGTACGTCAGCCAGATGGCAGCACACGCCAGCCAGAAGGCAGCACACAGCCAGAAGGCAGCACACAGCCAGCAGTCAGCACACGGCCAGCAGTCAGCACACGGCCAGCAGGCAGCACACGGCCAGCAGGCAGCACACAATCGAAAGGTGGCATACAAGAAAGTGACATACAGGAGGTTGGCGCACAACTAAACCCAGATCAAGTTCCCACAGCACACCGCCCGGTTCATGATTTGGCAACAAAGTCTAGCGCTATTAGAATTGATGTAAATTGTGTGACTGCTTTCATCACAGGTGTTCTAATTTTAGGAATCTAAATATCTTTCTTAAATTTTTAAAGTTGATCAAATATTTTTGTTTTCAACTTGCTATATTTTTGTGAATGTTATTAGAATACGAATAATGTAGGCCTTTATTATTAGGGATTTAATCTAACATAAAAGCGAAACAGGTTAGATTTTAACGTTTGCTTGGAAGGATACTGAAGGTACAGGCGTCAGACCTTATAAATGTGTAATTGTAGTAGGCCTATCTATAATAAATATATTGTAAAAAATGTGAACTTTATTAATTCTCTTGTTTAGAAAATTTCTTAATTATATTATATGACTATGAATTGTATTTCAAGTCATGCAAGAAACAAAGGCATCAAACGGTCAATCTGACTGCTGATTTTTATGCGCTGACAGTAGTTTCCATGAAATATACATTTTCTAATTCTATACATTATTTCATGTCATCATCTTCATCTTCCGTTACTATGCATACCCTCGGTTGAATATACTCGCAGTGTGTTTGTACAATACTCATATGTGTCGCGGTCAAAAGGGAAAGAAAAGTAAATACATTAATTAAAAACATTACACAAGAAATCAACCTTGAAGTGGTTAGTCAGATTAAGGAATGATATGAAAAGACACAAACGCACTAATATACAAATAATTTCGTGCGAGTCAACACCTGACTTTATTTCTAATCTGTATGGTACCAGCCCAGCCCAGAGAGAAAGCACAATCAGAAGGAAAAGGAAAGGGCAGCCTTCCTCTTTGAGAGACAAAGAAATTTGGATTTGTCATCGATAATTAAAAAAAAAAAAAAATGCCGAATGATGTCATTCTTCTACCTAGGTATATCTTTGCTTTGTCCAACTTTAAAGAAGATCCAAATAAGTAAGAACAGCCCAGAACCAAAAATGATGCCAGTGGCGTATCTAGAAGTCTTGAAATGGGGGTGCTGATGGGGAGGGCGGCTCGATTATCAGTTAAGGGGCGCGAATTAGCAAAGTATGGTGATTTTAGGTGATTTTTAACTACTTGACCGAGATTTTGGGGAGGGGGGCGAGTAATTTGGGGGCGTTCCTTCCCCTAGATACGCCACTGAATGATGCCCTCAATTTAGCATTTATTAAGGCCTATTTAGATGTACATGTGGATACATAATTATGCTGTTTTTAGTGTAGGTAGGATTTCTGTATAGAGCCACAATGTATTGTTAAATTAACATCCACTGCTATACCAAAAGCTTGTTCATTTTAGGCAAGTCCTTCAAATTGTGATAACATTCTGAAACTTGGCACAGTTATTCATTGGGGTATCAAAAACATGGAAGGGTTGCCCAAAATTTGAGTAGGGGAAAGCGGCTATCTTGGATTTCAAAATTGATGGCGGACACCAAATTTCCACTTTTTAGGTATATCTCAGCGAAAAAGGCACCTAGTGTTCTGATTTTAGGTGCAAAGTATATGGTATATATTACAAACACACTAGTATAACTTGCATTTTGATTGCATGGCGGCCATTTTGAATTCCAAGATGGCTGCCATTAAAATGGTGGACCTTAAAGTTTTGTTTAGCTGTATTTTAGCTAAAGAGGCACCTAGAATTCTTAATTTTGGGCTTGAAGTATATGTAATTTGGGTCAACAAACATGTTTGTACAAACCAGGAGAAAATTCCTGTTGATGCCTATTACAATTTCAACAGGTGTTGACAGGTACTAAGGCCCCATAAAAAAATTATTAGTTTATCACACCCTATCAAAGAATGAAAACCGATGAGGGAGGGAGGTTTTTTTTTTTACTAACCCCGCCCCCATTTTACCGATGATCACAAGTAAATCAATGGTTAGAGAGACATATATAAAAAGTCATAAGAATGGAATCAAATTTATATTTAAAAATATGTTTTTGTTGTACCATTTTGCAAGAAATCCTGAGCTTTTCAAGTGAAAAAAGATGGAAAAATGACCGTTTGAAATAAAAATATATTTTGATTGTAAAAAAAAAAAAATCAGATTTTCCCCAAAAGTGATGAGGGAGCGGGTGATAAACTAATAATTTTTTTATGGGCCTAACATGTACCTGTTACATGTAACAAGAATGAACAGGCAAATCAACAGATACCTATTAAAACCTGTTAAATATGCGTTAGGCTGAATGAACAGGCAATTAACTAGTTACCAACAGGAGACAACAGGTACCTGTTACATAACAGTCACATAACAAGATAATGAATAACTAAAAAAGTTCAACAGGTAACATTTGACCAGTCAAAACGCAGTATCAACAGGTTTCCTGACGATTGCCTGGTAACTTGTCCTAATGCGCCATTTTTGCACAGTGGAGTGAGCAAGCAGGCTTCTTACACTAGCAGATGTTTCTGCATCTCTCTTTGCTCATAAAAGTAAGTATTTGTAATCAATTTAGTGATTAAGTTCCTAAACTATATGTACAATAATTAACCAGGCCCTTTTCTAGATATTTTTGTCTGTAGGGTATCACTAAAGTCCATTGAAAAGTTCAAAATAAGAAAATAAGTTTTTTTTTTTTTTTTAATTTTTTTTTTTTTTTTTTTTTTTTTTTTTGTCATTGGATACTCGTATTACATTTTCTTATCTTGTTCAATAGGTCAAACACCGGTAATGACTGTTGACCAGCTGCTATACATTATGCTTTGGCAAAGCAGATTCAGTGGACAAAGCTAGAACACATTGATCATGACCGGGGCGGATATGGGTTCACATTTAGGGGGGGGGGTGTCAGACTTTTTTTTCACAAAAACCCTAAAAAGAAAGGGGGGTGGGGGTCCTTCCCCGGGAAAATTTTGATTCTTATATGGCGGGAAATGAGCTTTCCAGACTTGTGAGGTGTCTTTTAATGACTTTTAAGTTCTTCAAAATTCAAGGTTTTCCTCTCTTGAAAACGGTCAGGTAAACTTTCTCATTCTTATTACAGTAAATAGACCTATTTATGTGTGTATAATACGTACATTAAGAAAAAAATGAGTTGCTTACGTTTTTTTTTTCACGAATGGATAAACCCCAAAGAGGAAGGCGGCCTGGGGGTCCTCCCTCGGGAAAATTTTGATTATTAGATGGCGGGAAATGGGCTTTCCAGACTTCTGAGGTGTCTTTTAATGACTTTTAAGTTCTTCAAAATTCAAGGTTTT